TATGTTTAGACATTTGTCATATGAGAATCATATGTATGACATTTCATATGAGAATCATATGAAACTGTATTCACTAAATTTACCTTTTTATACTCAGGTAAAAATTATATGAAGTGAACATATGAGAATCATATGAAACAGTGATCATATGAGAATCATATGAAACAGTGATCATATGAGAATCATATGAAACAGTGATCATATGAGAATCATATGAAACAATGTTTACTTGTATTTCCTTGCTAAACTAAGGTAAAAATCATATGAATATTTTTAAAGTGATTATATGAGAATCATATGATACAGTGATCATATGAGAATCATATGAAACAATGTTCACTTGTATTTCCTTGTTATATTCAGGTAAAAATAATATGAATATTTTGACAGTGATCATATGAGAATCATATGATACAGTGATCATATGAGAATCATATGATACAGTGATCATATGAGAATCATATGAAACAATGTTCACTTATATATGCATATTTATTTCTCTAAATGTTTTGTTTGAAGATGATTTTTTTGTCTGTCTGTACTTGCTGAATATATGAATGGATCATATTAAGAAAATAACTCAATGGCAAATGATCAATCTGATCACCCTTTAATTGTAATCAATTAATTTCTTAACATGTACATACAACATAAATGTACACATGTAACAATAATTACCCTAAATAATTAAATTATACATATTAGAAAATTTACAAAGCTGTCTTCGTGATAGTTAAAAGTGAAATATACTTCTCAAAACTCTTTGATAAGTCTATGTTCATTTTAAGTTAAAACCATATCTTGGAAGCTGATTATTTTGTCTACTATTTATTTAGGTAGTAAAACATAGGTAATCAAAAATTACGCAGCTCACCTTGACGAATGTTATCAGTGTAAGTAATGCAGATCTCGCATCATATTTTATTGATAGTAAAAAGTATTTTATCCTGACAACAATATGCATGCAATTTCTGTTTAAAGAGATCTTAAAGTTCATTGGGGATTGACCTGTTCCAAAAACTTTAATCTGGTCACTCATTTGGAAAATGTAGATCAGATCTAACTTCCGAAGCAAGTCTCGATTGTATATCCTCAGATGCATAATTTATGCAAGTTTGGCCCAGCTAGGGCTTATAGTTTCTTGGGAGACACTCATCTGGAAAATGTAGGTCAGTTCCAGCATTCGAAGCAAGTCTGGTAGTGTCCATCCTTAGGTGCATTATCCATGCATGTTTTCCCCAGATAGGGCTAATATAGTTTCTCGGGGGTCACTCATCTGCAAAATGTAGGTCAGATCCAGCATCCGAAGCAAGTCTGGTAGTGTCCATCCTTAGATGCATCATCCACGCAAGTTTGGTTCAGGTGAGCTTAAATGGAAATCCTCATCACAATCAGTGCACAGATCAACTTTCACTTTGCTCAACGCGTTATCGGCTACTCGGTTGTTATAGGATACTCGGTTGATAACAATTTTTTACAGGTTAATAATTCCAATCTTCATTTTATCTATTGATTTCCCGTGTTTTGATTGGACGAGAGCAAGTTTAAGAAAAAGTTTACACATCGATGAATTTTTTCAATCAGAACTACTTTCTAGATCAAGCTTCTATGTTATCGTAGAAACGATGAAAGCAGTTATTTCTGGTCTGTTTTGGCTAAATTATGAATGTAACAAGCTTCAAATTTAATTAATTAATACAAAACTGACAACAAACTGGACTACTTAGCTGACGGAGCCATGAAAATGTTTATGTCACTGTCCGATCACGAGGGTGAATTTTAAAAATCGCTGTCTCGACGTTCATCATGTTCATAATACAAAGAAAATCAGCCCAGTTTGTATCGTTTTGACAGGGAAAAGAAGCGTACCTCAAACTCTTGCCCATTACTTTCTATATTGTTCCTCAATCTTTGAACAAACAAGTGCAAATCGAAGGGGTCGTCTGTCTGCAACTTTCACTATAAGAGTTGTCGTTTATGTCAACATGGCCATGGTCAAGGAGGAACTATTCTGAAGTAAACTGGTAATTACGACATTTGTTGACTTAAACTGAAAGCATTATCGTTTATCTGTCAAAGATCACAACCTTTGTTTGCAGAAGTACACAATTAGCATAGAATGAAGAAATTTAAAATACATACGTTTTCTATGCATTGTTTTTCCAGCACAGAGTATCCTATAACAATCGAGTTGCCGATAACGCGTTGAGCAGTGTGACTTTTTTTGGTTAATGATGGGATGTTGGGTACACCTATTTCTTTCAAAATAAACCAAACATACTTTGCCACTTCCAAGCTCTGTAATATTACAAACACATTTCACCTTTAAAAAGATTACGAGTCTGAAATAAAATTGTATTGTTACAACCACAGGTATACAGAGGTAGACAAATACAATTTTGCAGTACTTGCCCTCGGACAGGTAACTGTTACTATCATAAAACTACTTGTCCTACCAAAAAAATTGATTGTCCCACCTTTTTTCTTAAATTACATAGAATTGAAGTATTGATATTAAATAATTTCTTGAGTGAGACACCTTAACAATACACTAAGAGTATTGAAGTATTTATTTAATGGAAAAAGGTGAAGATACGCAATGGTAACACTCATTTCTGCAGTGGGATGTATACTCTTTCACAATTACCCTTGACCGCGAAATATAGTTATATATAATGGACTAGGTTGAAGTTGACAACAGGCAGACAAACTGCCAGACAGGAAAAAAAAACTATACTCCAGGATCTTTGATCCAGATGCACAAAAATCAATAAGTCTGGGGTCATATATTTGGGGGGGGGGGGCAATCCTGTCTACAAGTACCTGTCATTAAAACTAGATTGTAATACTCAGAATTTGATATAAAGTTATTTACAGAGAAATATAAATTACAATATGATGTGTTGGACTGTGTAGCAAACCATACAGGAGAAGACTCAGTTTGTCGGGAAAAGGAAACCATTCTGAATCATTCTCAGTTGGAAAACATTGTTGATTTGATCCGAAATTCTCATGATTCTGCAAAAAAAAATCCATATAAATCATGTACCCACTTACGCACATCCACAAACAGTATCGTACTAGTTTTTAAATATGTTAAACAGGTCCTGTTAAATGAATTAAATGTATATTAACGATATAGCTGCAGATCTGTAGCGTTATGGTTTTATATATTTGTCTTTGACCATAACGCAACAGATCCCTTGCATTACGGGGTTACTGTCGTATCGCCCCCAAACCTGAACGCCCCATGCATGAGCGCCCCAAAAATTTTTACCGGCGCCCAAGTACAAATATGAGCGCCCCAAATATTAATAACGAGCGCCCCAAACGTATTTCACGAACGCCCCAAATTAGCATTTCGAGCGCCCCAAATAATTTGGTCACAGATACACATGCAGGTGCTCGTCTAAATTTCAATTTGTTTACTTTACCTTCTTCAAAGAAATCTGATGAAATATTCTTTTAAATTATCAAGTTTTATTCGCGTAATTAAAGGTAATAGTACAGTCATTTGTATTAATTTTGAAAGTCAGAGCACGACCGTAATCCCAAATAAAAGGAGAACAACCCCCCCCCCATATTTTATCAAATACCGGCTATATGAAGTGATTTGAATTAATTTGGCGATAAAGCAATTTTAAAAAAATCAAAATAAATTACGGTTCGGGAACATGGGGAATGCACGTATAAATATGAATTCCATTTGTTTAGTACGTTTACATTTATCTTCATATAATGCTAGTTTACAATTCTTGGGGCGTTCGTTATTATACATCGTAAAACTTGAAGCACTCGTGATAAACAACTGATAAATATCATTCGGGACGTTAATAACAATCGTTATCGTTAATAACAATATATTTTTTTATTCCAATAAATTGTTATAAAACACGCATCAAAGACAACAGTTTGGTTCTTTACTAGTTAATTTAAGCCTTGGGGCGCCCGAAATGCTAATTTGGGGCGCTGGTGAAATACGTTTGGGGCGCTCGTGATTAAGATTTGGGGCGCTCATCTTTGTACTTGGGCGAAGGTAAAAACTTTTGGGGCGTTCATGCATGGGGCGTTCAGGTTTTGGGGCGCAGTGACTAGCACCCGCAAAAAAGGTGCAATTTACGGCCCAATATTTTTTGGGAGAATTCCTCCACTTTCCATCATCGGTCAATTATAACTACCTCTAATTTCTTAATCCGAGGCACATTATTTAACTAATCTGTATATTTTATCCATCTCCCAACCCTTTATACCGTAGTTATCTCTACAATGATAAACTCACTTTATTAAAATTATTTGTCAAGATTGCTGAAAATTCACTTCAAGCGAGTTTATTGCCTGTAGAGACAAAAATAAGTGGCTGGGAGGTTGATAAAATATACATATTGGCTACATCATGTGTCTAGAATTAGGAAGTGAAAGGTAGTTGATTGACTAATGCTAGAAAGTGGGGGAAATTCTCCCCAAAAGTGCGCAAAAAATATTGGGCCGTAAATTGCACCTTTTTTGCATTACGGGATCTGTAGCGTTATCATGGTTATGGTCGAAGACAAATACATAAAACCATAACGGGTGGGGGTGGTTTTTTTTTTAATTCAATGAGTGTCATATATAAGTACCCCAATATTGTGTCTTTCGAGCTCGATATCTTCCTCCAAATCAAAACATCGTTCATCTTCTGTATCATCATATGAGTAGGTCTGTTGGCTTTCCTCGTTCTCCACAGGCAATAAAAATTGCTCTTCTTCGTCAACGTTTTTATCTCTCAATAAACCGAAGGCTACATTATTCTGATGTTTCTTGGTTGCTTTATGTCTGTTCAAATGATTCAATTTATCGAATGTAATGCAGCAGACGTCACACGAAAATGTCATTCTTAAGTTGTCAACAAATGAGATCGATGTTTTCGATACGCTTTGATCACACAAGTTTTTGACGTTTTATTCAAACGCAGATGCAACTAAAAAGATTTCTGTAGCAGACGATACATGCCCAACCGCAACATGGATTTCCTCGCAGTAAGTAAATGTAATGTTTATTCATCTAATAAAAAAGAAAGTGTAGTTGCAAGTTATATATTAAAAACAGTAATTAACGAAAAAGTATGTCGATTAAGATTGAAATTAGGGAAATCAAGAAGAAAGATGTTACAATTTCGATCATTACATTACTGAGCGCGAACAAGGGGTTTTTACCATTATAAGATACACACTATATAAAAACGACATATTTTATGCAGAAATTTTTTGTAAATGATTTGACACGCATGTGTGCAATGAATGATCAATACTTTCCACGTAATTTATAATTTTGACACTTTTTATAGGCTTTATATATTAAGCGTTCATCGTGTTTTAACTTTTTACAGCATTTTCGTATCTTGGGGTTGCATAAGACAATACATTTCCAATCATACTTTAACTGAAGCAGGTTTAAGGGTGTCAACATAACTTTGATAATAAAGAACTGAAGCATTTTGTAGGATTCTCAGCAATCACAAGAGCTTTTTGATCAATCACAAGAACGCGCACGACCTCTGCCACCCCTAGAAGACACATCAGATACATCGGGAGGTGAAGCGACCGTTTCCCAAGCACAGGGAGAAAAAATACTGTTGATGTTGTCAGAAATTTGTGAGTAAAATTCTGTTGCTATGTCTACATATATATACCTTTTTACAGTGCTTGATCAAGTTTATCTCTTGTATTAATAGGATGTATTATCCTTTATTTGAACCAAAATCAATCCTTTATCTGCAACTACTCCTTGCTTTGACCCAATAAAGGTAACCCCAAAAAACAAATTGTTTTGAAAGAGACTATTTAAACTGAGGTTCTGTGACACAGTAGGTGCTTGCATGAAGAAGACCCCTCACTGCTTAAAATTAACAGCCCTGAGTGCTGAATATACAGGACAAAATTAACAACTCTCCCACCACTGAAAAGTTGTCTCCATAAAAAAATTGGAGAGGGATGTTAAAAAACAAACAAAATTGAATGTTAATTTAGATGTCATTTTGTAAAAGTTGTCTCCATAAAAAAAATGGAGAGGGATGTTAAAAAGCAAACAAAATTGAATGTTAATTTAGATGTCATTTTGTAACATTTCTTTTTTAACACTGTAAGGTGTTTTTTTCCTCACAATGTAGAAGAAGTACACAAATATCACCCCCCCCCCCCACACACACACACACAAAATATCACACTGATCTGTCACCTATATTGAAAGAAATGTGCATTTCTGAGGCCAACAATAAAAATGATTAGTTTGTTTGATGTACTAACTCTGACTGACCTATGCATCAAATTTGCCCCTACCCAATCACTTTGTTCATTTTTGCACTTTGAATTTTTAATTTTTTTCTTTAGTTTCCATATGATAGTTTCTCTAAGATGCTTTTTGATTGAAAATTTCATAGCTATAAATAATGTAAAGATTATACCCAATGTCTGATGAAAATATCAAAGAATTTCTGAGTCTGTGATTTTTATACCAGTACACAGTAGCACAGTCACTTGTTTCGGAAATAGATTTTAAACCCATATTTAGAATAATATTTTTTAATTATGGCCTTATTACATATATAACATGTAAATCACTTGAGAAAGTGTAGGCAAGTCTAGTAAAACTAAAGTGTGCTTTTAAATAGTCAAATAATTAAATTTTGAGATTATAGAGGTCAAGAACACTCAGTCTTACAGATAGAAAGGGGGATCTTGAAATCTAATGTGTTCGTGATATGTTTCAATTTTTAATTCATTCTTTAAAGTAAAGGAGCAGAAGAAAATCAAAGAGGATATTGCAAGACTGCAGGGCCAAAGAAATAAATCAACGAAGGTTGCAGTTGAGGGATCCACGATTGAGGTACATTCTTTGCTTTAATTGAATATGTAATTTTTTAGCTCTACTGGTCAGAGACCAGAAGAGCTAATGCGATAGTAATGCGTCCGGCGTCTGTCTGTCTGTCTGTCTGAATGTAAACAATTTTTCAAAATGCTACGTCACCTCCTACAGTTTTGGTCTGATTTCAATATAACTTGGCGCACAAGTAGACTGCACTAAGATACATAATTCTATGCATCTGTTTTTTATTTCGATAAACGGTGTTGTCGCGGTTACTAAAAATAGAAATTTCTTTGAATTTTTTTCAAAATGCTACTCCTTGTACAGTTTTGGTCTGATTTCAATATAACTTGGCAAATAACTAGACTAGACTAAGATACATAATTCTATGCATTGGTTTAGATTTTGATGATAGGTGTTGCTGTGGATACCTGAAATAGAAATTTCTTTGAAATTCTTTCAAAATGCTACTCCTCCTACAGTTGTAGCCCTATTTCAATATAACTTTGCACACAAGTAGACTTAACTAAGATACATAATTCTGTGCATCGGTTTTTGTTTCGTTGAGTGGCAAGGATCATCTTTCTATTAATTTATTGCTGTTTTAAAGTTTCAAGTCGCAACTGCTACTTTTCTCTTCATTTGTTTTAAGAATAAACCAGTAGAGCTACAGTCTCAACAGAGACTTCTGATTTAAGGCCACACCAATAAAAATTTTTGGTCATAGGAATATGTGCTCGTCTTTAAACCAAACCATACAATTAGACTCTCTTAATATTGATTAAAATTTCCAGCACAATGGGAATTCTGTGCTATTTTTTCTGTTCCCCTTATGCTCTATTTATGATACCGTATATACTCGCCTATAAGTTGGATTTTTGGGAGTTAATCTCTTGTCCAAAACTCTATGTCCGACTTATAGGCGAGCTATAAAATGAACGGTATTATATGAGGTTGGTCCCTCTGATACATAAGCTTATTAAAGACAACCGACTTTTAAGCGGACCGACTTATAAGCGTCAGTATATACGGTACTTTTTAATCTGCTTATTCTGCCAATCTTGAAAAATATAATTTTCCGCTCCTATTTTACTCTGCTCGTGTAATAAAAATGGTCTACAAAAAGTTATCATATTATTATATAACCACCTGCCCGTTCCTACTTTTTTCATCAATGTCCGACGAACAAGAAATTTTATTGGCGTGGCCTAATGGAAAAGGAAAAGCTAATGGCTGGAGCAAGATGGAAACTTGTGATTATGTATTTTAATTCCCAAGTCAGAAACTGTATCACTAAGCCATATAGATCAATATCTATAGGGTATTTATACACTCTTCTCTCCTAAAATTTCCAAATTAAACCCAAAAGACAACTATAACCAGTACTATACCCCTGACAGAACTTTAAATACTTCTCTCACTGAGCTATGTAGATGTCTATTATCCATAAAGCCCTAATTCCACAAACATCCTATATATCTAAAGTTATGTTTGTAAATATCATTGATTTATGTATTTTCTTCTTCATATTGAATTTTTCTGATTTTTTTTATCTAATATGAATTCAACATTTGCAGAGAGAATATGTAAACTTCCTAAAAGAAAAGTTTAGCTCGAACCCATGGATATTATTTAAAGATACGGACGTACAGGTATGATAATATCAATGCTAGCTATCTATTTTGTGTAAAAATGCAAGAATTAAGCATTTTAGTTGATGCACTGTCATCAGTATATATGTTACAGTAAATATGTGTAACCAGGAATTTCACGTATTTCCTGAATTTTAGGAAATACATGAAATTCCTATTCTGCTTAGGGAATACACGTATTTACTAATTTCAGTTAGGAAATACGCGTAATTACTGAACTTTTCAATACTTTTTACACATATTTACTGACTGCGTTTTCGTGGGCTAATTTAAAATGTGGATCATAAAATATGAATAGATGCACAGTATAATCAATGTTCATATCAGTGAGCATACCATATGTGAATAAATAATATTTTATTTATGTATAAATTTTGAAAATGTATTATTTGTAAATATTAACTTAAAATATAATGATACTCTGCTTTCATTTTTACTGGAATGTGTTTTCTATATCACAACATACTTTAACTAACTTTCATTTATTTTTATATATTTTTATCTAAAAAAAACTAAAATCGCTTATTGGCATTTCTTATTTTATTAGATATTCATAAAATGTCACAGTTTTTGACAGTAAATTTAAAACCCTGAAGCATCTTATTTACAAATAAAACAATTTTTATGCTGTCTCCTAAAAAATGCAACAACCCCCCCCCTCCCCTTGTAAAATACACATAATGCAACGAGATTAAAGTCAGGAATTGAAATTAAAATTTTACTTTGAGGAATTTTCCACCCTAATAATTTTAATAGTTCAAAATAAAAAAAAAACAAATTGAGTTTGAATTAAGTGAAAATTGCAAAACATATCTATTTTACCATAATTTCAAAGATGTGAGACTCGATTGAACAGATGTACCCCTTATATCACCATTTACAATTCGTACATTTTTTATAAATGTTATAATAAAAAATTATTTAAAAAACTATTTCAAATACATCATTCTGATGCTAAATGATCTAAATTCACTAAGCTTCTTTAGAAATATTTATGAAATGTGAATATTAGAAACTTCCTTTTACATAAGAAGTACAATAAAGGAATTCAAAACTAATGCATAACGTCAGCTTTGTAGAAACAATTCTTATCAAATGCTGCTTTAAAAAAAGATTTTAGTATGTGTATGTTTACTGGATGTTTTAAAAGATATGCATATATTATTCATCCTGCTTTGTTCAGTAAAAACGTGTAAAATTGGCTAATATTTTTAGTAAATACACGAATTTCCTAGCTATTCAGTAATTACATGTATTTCCTAAAACAGCCAGTAAATACATGTATTTACTGAATGTTTTAGGAAATACATGAAATTCCTGATTTCACATATTTACTGTAACATATATATGTCATATCACCAAGTATATGAACTTACAAAGTTTACAGTCAATATGTATATGTATACTTAAAGAGTGAAGCATTTCTTTCTAGAAGAATCTTAGAATGTGTTTCATGTACACATGTACATGTTTATAAAAATAAGTGAAAATGCATTGATGTATTTATTCAGGAGATGCTCAGCACATTAGCCAGTAAAGCTGGCTGGACTGGAAATATCTTTGGGGTCATGTCCAGCTACGGGGCAACAAAATTTACCTATTATCGCAACCAAATCAGAGCAAAGGTGTGAACACATTTCTGTTTTCATCATTTCAAGTTACATATCATCTTAGGAAGTATCAAAGCTAAACTGTCTTATATCATCATTAAAAAAAATTTTTGCTTAACATCCAATTTTAAGCTTTACATTGTGAATTGAATTGTTTAAAAAAATTTTTAGCTGATGGGTAACAAGGAGATTGATGTGGAAGGCCTCTCTCTCAAGTCCCTCCATAACTTCTTGTGGAAGTGCTTTTTGCCACGCACAACACCTTTATCGGATCCAGGGAGGGAACACCTCACACTAATGCTAGTATGAATACATTAGATAAAATCAACACTTAATAATATTTAAAAATGTAAAAATTTTGATTTCAATTTAATTTTAAAATTTTCATTTTAAATACAAGTATATATAAAATACATGGTTACTGTCTTGAAATATGAGCGATATTTGGGCGTGGGTAAGAAAACGTGATAGAGGGCGAGGCTTGCTGAGCCCTCTTATATTTTCGACCCGAGCCCAAATATTGCTGATATTTTAAGACAGTTATCACGTATTTTGTTTATCCTGCAACATTTGAGCATCCAAAACAGGCTAATTCCAACAGATTTAGGCACATCTCTGCAGTTGAAACTTTGACACCATGGCATAAACATTGCAGTATACGTGATGTTAAAATGCTTTTAGAACGTCAGAATAGATGCACAGCCTTTAATAGGGCAGTGACCGGATAAAGCTTTGGTTTATGAGGTTACCCTTATTGGGTCAATGCAAGGGGTAGTTGCAGGATAAAAATATATATTATTGAAAGGACATCTTTTGACGGTAAATGTGATAAATGATAAAAAAAAAATTAATTTGTGATTGTTAGATATAAAAAAAAAAAAAAATTATTCATCTTTATGTAGAAGTCTTGTCTACAGCTCACTTGAGTTGAAGGCTCAAGTGAACTTTTCTGATCAAAATTGTCCATTGTCTATCATCGTCATTGTTGGCATTAACTTTTCATCTTCATAATGTGTTATTCTATTTGCTGGCTCACACTGTAGCAGTAATGAGACCATATCTGATTCTTTGCTAAAATAAATCACCAGTGGGGCACCTTAAGGATTGAATAGTTTTACATAGTCATTTATACTCGTGTACAGGAACATTTTTTAGTCTTACTTTAAACATTGCTACAATAGTGGGGCCTAAGGAGGGAATCGTGAGTAAATTTGATCAGTATGAAGCAAATAGAAAAATTACTTTTAAATTCATTCCAGGGTATTTTTTTTTTTGCATTTAACAAAACCCACTTGTGTCATTCAAGTGAACTGGCCATTGCTGCTCAGGTGAACACTGTGGTCCTTGGGCCTCTTCTTATCATTTCACTGCTAATTATTTTTGAAAATAATTTGTAGAGATCATTTTGTGCCACGAACAAACTCTTTAGAAAAGGAGGTAAAGGAGATTTCTCCTTTTGGACGGAATTTAAAGAATATTTTAACAGAGTTGTCGAAGACAAGAGGGACGACAAATGGAACAAGCTTCAAGAGAAAGAAGAAAAGAGGATAAAGAAATATTTAGAATAAGTGTTGCTGCTGTTTGATAGATCAAAAAACAATGTTTTTTTCAATTCAGTACTAAATTTTTTAGTATAATGATTGTATGATTTCTACAATGTATAAATATTATGAATCTGAATGAAAAAAATAATGTGATATTTTTTTTTCTTTTGACCATACAATTAAGAGTACATATAAAATCTTGTCAGAAAAAATTGATTCCATGTATACTGGAGTGTCTTTATTTTCTGTTGTACAATCTTATTTCTAGTATATATATATTAAGATTACTTTTGCTATATCATAATTATATGTTAAATATTCTGTATATATATGTAATCTGAATTACTAATGAATTATCAGATAGTTAAAATGGGGAAGACATGTATTGACAATATTATTGCAGATATTTCAATTTTCTACAGACACTACATAGTCATTTGTTATTTTTCTATTACATGATCTATATAATATTATGTTATACATTGGTACATGCGCACATGTTCATGTTAATCATTTCTGCTGAAATCTTAAGAATAAGTTGTATTAATTGGAGAATATGTTAAATACATGTATCGACAAATGCTACCGACTTGTTTGTAATTTATTTTCTTGTTTAGAAAGTACACTGTGAAAAATAAGTTATTTCTCTTGATGAAAATAATTTTGTCACAAAGTTGTGCAAGCATTATAAGATATTTTAATATATTTATTTAACCAATGAAGATAGGTCATTGTAATGTAATGAATTTTCATCAAAAGCAGAAATATCTGATTTTTAATTGTGTACAAGAATGTGAAAAATATTGAAAGAGAACACACATATGTGTTTCATATGATTTTCATATGATGCCTTTTTCATATGATTCTCATATGTAAATGACTTGAAACACATATAAGTGTTTCATATGATTTTCATATGATGCCCTTTTCATATGATTCTCATATGTAAATGGCTTGAAACACACTTAAATCATTCATATGAGAATCATATGTAGTTATTTTCATATGATTCACATATGAGTATCATATGATTCTCATATGATTTGCTTCATATGATTCACATATGATGCCCTTTTTCTATGATTCTCATATGAAACCAATCATATGAGAATCATATGATACTCATATGAGAATCATATGTGGCGAATTTGCCTGTGTATTTTATTTCTTAAATATCAAACATTAAACTCTTCATCTATTTCAATTTATATTAAATCGCACATTGATATTTTAAAATAAAAATCTTATAGGCTACGTTTTGTTTTGATTCGAGGAAATGCGAACCGACATTGTTGACAGTGACAGAATGTCAAACGATTTGCTGCAATAGAATATTCATAAGTTCAGACAATTTCAGTACTAGTAAATAGTTCTTTTCAATTCTGTACTTACATTGTGTGTATGATGTCTAAAGTATTCAATTTTTGGATTTATCAGGTCTTGCTGTAAATGTGTATTATTCTGTGTATGCGGAAAAACGTGAATAAAGGGGGAAAACAAACATCTCTTACATTTTTAGAGTTGTTTCTCTTTGATCAGAAAGGGTCTGAGAACAACATCGATTTAACATTGTAAAAAGTTTTTTGTTTGATTATTGTTGTCTTATTTAATTAAAGAAGAAAAAAGTAAAAAAACAATATTTATAACGTAAATGCAAAAAATGTAATTGAGAAAATTAATTGGAATGTTATATAGCCAATTGTGCACAATGAGACGTTCGGCAATGTAAAATAAAATTTTCAGAATAAAAAAAAAATGCTGCACTTTGATCAAGAATACAATTTCTTGTTTATGAAATGAAATAAACATTAAGGGATGGTATTTTATGTCTTTTCACGGAGTTTAATCGAGTAAATTACAAAAAATTCTATTTTTGACGTTAAATTTGACGTCACATCAAACGTTCAATTGAAATTGCAAGAGTTATCTCCCCCAGTGTGTTGTACGTCTTTAAGCTCTAAACTTAACTCATTTCTAAACGCGTTTAGCCATCGTGTATTTAGTTGCTAAACGTGTTATCCCTTTAAACACATATCTTAAAACATTATTTGTTTCACTTTTTACGCGTGAAAACTTACACACGTCCCATTTTTAAAAATTTTGAGATTTAGGTATTTATTGCTTAACATGTTTAGTTCCATAACATTGGATCCCACTGAATTATAAACTATTAGAGGAAAGCACGTTTAAAGAAAAACATAATTTATTAAGTTACTTGTACCTAGGAATATGTGCGTACAGGTGTATATTTAAAAACTCGTGAAACAAACCTTATCTTTAAACTTTATCAAAGGAAAGAAATAGAGCTCTAACAATACCTTTCTTGAACATTCAAACTTTGATTTATTCTGAAGAATTTAAAACAAATTAACACATATGTTTAAAACATATAAAATGATTTACTCGTTTCAATTTTATTCAGATCAACAAACACTTATTTCTCATGTCCTTAACTAAAAGCTAATCAAATTCATTAATTTCTAGCAAGTCCGTTAAAAGCATCATATGCCTGATCTGTTTTCATCTATGACTTCAGAAAGTTATCCCTTTCCATTATCGTCAATTAATAAAATGAATGGACAGTATTACATAACTGTATTTATTATACCTCTATTGATAATACTCGAATTTGATTGGCTGATAAGAATTTTAAATCACACCAATGACTCCAAATGGTACTGTTTACAGCAATAATGACCTAGGAATCATTGCACGCGGGAAATAATGACCCGGTTATTATATTTAATGACCTCTAAAAATGACCTCTTAATCAAAAATCCCATTTTGAGTAAAGTAAATGCATAAAAAAATAATTCGGAAAAAACAACGTTTTTGAAAATTTTGCATGGTCTGTTTTGCATTACCATACAGGATTCTGTAAAATTTTATCGTTAACTTAAAAGGTTTACTAATTTCAAAATACATGTATCGTTATAGGCCTACAGTTCAATGGAATGTAGAAGCGGCTCTTTAAAGAGTTGAATTCTGTGTTAGATATTGACTGTGTAGAGGGAAAATAATCGTTAGTTAAAACAATGTATGTCGCTACAGATTCATACTTTTCAATATAAATCGGTATAATAAAACAATTGACTACCCCTTTTGAGTTCAACATGGTAAAATAAGGACCCGAGACCTGGCCCACTCGATAACCTGCCTGACCTCGGCCGCAACGCTGCCTCGGTCAGGTCAGGTCACCTCGTGGGTCAGGTTTCAGGTCCTTATTTCACCATGTTGACCTCAAAAGGGGTAATTAATTGTATAATAATATTTTATTACGAAAACACAAGAAAGATACAAATTAATATTTTTAAACAATGAATCTACAATGTTTTACAAAGTCATCAACTATATTGTCACACAAATAAAAGATAAAACGTCATGTCAAAAGTGAATAAGTAAATATTCTTGCATAGGAAAAATGTCAAAAGTTAGATTTGAAGGAACTAAGTAGCACCAGCACTTTTGCTCACTTTCTGTGGAAGCACGTTCATCGATCCTCTATTGAAGGAATCCACCAGTCGTTTGAATTTCACTGACAAATTGAGGTAAAACCACTACTTACATATGTATTCGATGAATTGGTTTAGAGACGGGACCTTGAGAGATATATAAACTGTTTTAACTTAATTGTCAACTGTGAATTTTTAACCATTTCGTAACGTGTTTATTTTTATATTCTGTGATATTAAAGAGTATAGAATATTATATGATATTTTCTTTTGTATTCTAGGTTCTCATTGGTTAATATCCAAAGAAGAACGAACATAATTTCTGTATCACCTGGTTTGGCATGGAGGCACCCCCCCACCCCCACCCCCCACCGCCCATCCCCCTGTCAACAGACATCTGTATCCATTCAATCTACTCTTTTTAAATACTCGGGATTCATGGAAAATTCCAGATTTAATAATTGCACTTTTAACTTCAAACAGTAACCATCTACATGTATAAACAGTTAACATTGCTGCTTTGTCTATCTATCAGGTTTTTTTTTTACCTTCCTTGATATGATTTTATTATTGAGCGTTAAAACTGAAGTTATAAAAAGTTATGAAATTGAAAAAAAAAATGCTTAAATAATTTTAAAATCGAATTATTGGAAATGACTCTTAATTTTTATCCAAATTATTTGAGTATAACCCGGTTAAGTTCAGTTTACGTTGTTTTATAATCTGGATTATTAAACGTTAACTAACCAAAAACCATATTATATTCGAATAATTTAGCCAGGAATTAAGTAAATGTAATTCCTAAAATATCTTCTATACACCTTACGTTTTCTTTCATAAATTCGGTAAAAGCACAAAAGCGTATTTTAATTAAAATCAAATTTCTTTGATACTCTCCTTTTACATTCCACAAGGACATGACGCGGATCTGCTAAGTCTTATTTTATTACAATAAAAACAAAACACAATATTATTTCGGAATAATTTTTTTCTTTCAATTCTACATGTATAATAAGATGGAATTACATGGACTGTGTTGATTAAAAATGTTATTATTGATATAGTTGCACAGTCTACTTTGCAACAGATAAATACCCTACTTTCAAAGTTTAAATAACATTGTGTTCCTTCCATGGTGTTCCCTTATTTAATTTAGTTGTAAGAGTAGTAGTTTAAACTATTACGTATTTGTACTCCCTCCATAAAATGAAACCTTTTTCATCTTGGACAGACGCAGTAAATCAAAGACAATTTTTTTTATGGGTTTTCTATTTATTTGGCGCTTTTGGGCACGGCTGAATAATATAACAACATATTATTTCGGGCCTCCAAGCAACGGGTAGGCCCAGCAACAAAAACAACATTTCAGTTCAACAACAACATATCAGGTGACCTTGACCCTAGTAGATGCAGAGGTCAAGGTCAACAACGTTTCAGTACATCAACATATCAGGTGACCTTGACCCCAGGAGATGCAGAGGTCAAGGTCAAAAAATAAAAACTTGCAGTGCAACAATAATATTGACACATCCTCGACTCTGGGAGGTGCAGAAGTCAAGGAAGAAAATAAAATATTTAGAATAATAATCACACATCCATTGCTCTGGGAGGTGCAGAAGTCCAGGAAGAAAATAAAATATATAGAATAATAATCACACATCAATGACTCTGGGAGGTGCAGAAGGCAAGGAAGAAAATAAGAAAAAAATAGTTTTATGTACAGTGTCACAATATTTACATGGTATTCAACTTTGACCCTGTGTGGTGCAGCGGTCCAATAATGAACCCATGTTACATCTATTTCTAAAATCTACATTTAGCCATTGTTCTCTCAAATTTGATTAACACCAACCTTGCAACTAGCTTGTAACCGGCAAAGAGAGAGTTTGCAGCACGAGCACCTTTTTTATATAATTGAAAGTTAGATAACTCGTGCCGAAACAAGGAGAGATCACTGCACAAAAAAATATTGCGCTGCCAAGTTTAAAGCATCTTATTCGCATATGGGCGAGATAGATGCTATATTAATTTAATAAAAACAGTACTTTATATATGAAATTTACTTTTGTTCTTTCAGCTGAATCAGCAGGAAGGGCTAAATGGGATGCTTATTCCAATAATAATAGCAATATTCTCAGTTAGACAAAGATTCTTTCTATCGTTTTATTCCTTTTCCATTCTTTTTTTCTAATAAAGCATATCATTTCGCTCATATCTGCTGCAAAACTATACCAAGTTTAATTTTCCTGTCATGCATACACTATGAGTGAATGAATGCACACTGCTAAATTAGTCATGGTCCTTTCAATACTGGTGTTCTCCGTGCACGTGTTCTCTTCTATCAACAAGTTTCTTTTTACCTCTTTGGACCACATAACTGTGTTGTTAAAGTTAATTTTTTATCTTCTAGGAACGGATAATAATTAGGAGGGGATAAAGCAACCCGCTTATGTTTATGGATAGGAAGCATCTGTATTTGTCAAATAAATCTACAATAGGACATTTTTCTACAATTAGTAATAATATTTAAAAGAATAATATTAAGGTGAATAATTATACGGGTTGCTCTTATCGGTACACTGTATAATAAGAGGAGGAGGGTTACTTTAACTTTGTTATATTTTTTCTTTTTTTTCTAATAAAATGTGTGATTTTGGTATATTTGCTATCTACATGTATAAAATGGTTTTCTTGGTCACAGTTTAAATACTGCGCATTCTAATTATGTAATAAAAATCAAGTGTAAATGATGACAAACATTAATGAATTAAAGGAGTTCACTACGTTTTTTAAATGTTATAATTTGCAACAGGGAATGATTGGACATCACTGCCCCAAGAATCACGATACAAGTGATGATGTGGATATTTCTTTAGTGATTGCACATTTAACATGATAAAAAGGATTCGAAGAAGTCAACAAAACTGTTGGTTTTCTTCTTCAGATTACTTAGTAGTAAACATGTCCTTTTTTAATTTAAGTGCTGTTATGTTTTTGTTAAGTGTTTCGGATATATAGGGTGAGATATTTTATATGACATGAAGAGTGCACGGTTTTGATATGGCCATTTAAAAGGTTTCATTAAGTAGACTATTGCTGACTTCCTTCTTCCGAAACTTCTTAGTTTAAATTCTAGTAACGTTGATGAGAGGGACTTTGCTTAAATATTCTATTTTTATAAAACAATGTAAAATGTCAACATACATGTCTGTGGACTACTCCAAATGTAATGTCATAATTGCGATAAAATTGATTTGAGTCGACGTAAAAACAAATTAATATAATTGCCCGTAGTATTATATATATATATATATATATATATATATATATATATATATATATATATATATATATATATATATATATATATATATATATATATATATATATATATATATATATATATATATATATATATATATATATATATATATATATATATATATATATATATATAAAATAAATAATATAATATCTGCAGTTGAACCAGGTTCGTCAAGCTGTGTAACTACTCTACCACTCTAATATACTTACAGTGCAGATATCTTAACAAGTAGATAACAATAGTATACATGAACAATGATATAAAAAACCAAAACCGTTTAAGAAAACACATCGGTATAAAAAAATGTCTTTATTTCGACCATCTTAGAAGGACAGATACATACTGAACTGTCAAAGATGTCAATAAAAGACACTGCAAATCTCTTGTTTCATTTTCATGAAGATAAAAGGGATAAATAAATACAAAACAAATCAAAACCTTGCTTAAACCTCTTTCAAAACCCTTATGATTAACAATCATTTTCAGTATGTAAAAAAATAGTTTGGTTTAAAAGACAAATGTTAAAGTACAAGTACTGCAAACACAGTTTAAACCCCATTTACTTGAGCTTATCGTAATGTGATGGTTGGCTTAATTGTCCAAGTTCTTGGTAACCTGCGTTATCCCCAACACTGTCATATGTACATGTAGGTGTGTTTAGATCTTGTGTTGGATCATGTTGTTTTTGTACGTCATTTGAGTTCTGTCTTTTATAAATTGTTTGTCTGACATTTCTGTAACTTAAATACATAAAACCTTTCTTAAAGAAAACTATCTATATATAAAATGAAAAGAAATTGCTTACAAAAATTATATTCATTATTCATTTGATACCCTGTAACTACTGGTCTAAACTTAAAAAGAAAAGAATTCCAAACTCACCGAACAATGAAGAATACGTTGAGAATAATACTTATAAAGAGAACTGTTGTCACAACGTACAGACCTGATATTGTCCAACTCGAATTTGTATTTTTTTCTGATGATATCTTGTTTACTTAAATAGAATAAAATTAAGCTTGATAAATTTTTTGACGATTTTAAATCTGGAAACGGAGTTCATTTGGAAACACCAATACTTTCTATATTTAAAAAGGAAAAGATATATTAAGACAAGTATCTAGACTTTGAACTAAATCCTTCATGAAGACTTTCAGTGATTTCATTCTTATTTAGAGTGTCTATAAAACAAGCATTTAAGAACGCCCATTGTTTTTAATAATGTAAACCACTTTATTTGTTCCTGTGAAATATTCGAGAGAATAGCGGCTTTGTTTAACTAGAGAATATTTCTTACCAGCAAGCAATTATTTGTACATGTGTTTTAGAAGGATGTTGCCTCGGTCGTAAAAAAAAATAAAACTAAAAATCAGTAATGAACAATGTTGAGAACACTAGTGCTTTAAAATCACTCTTATTTTAATTATTCAACGAAAATTTAAATTGTAGAAGGAGAAATCTTTAGAAAACTATAAATAATACATCGCATTTTACCTGTACATTTTTCATCAAGATTTTCGCCTTTGCACCCTTCAATACATGATCCATTCGAAAGACAGGTTTCGTTTAGACAGCCAGTGCTACATTTGTGTTCACACAGTTCACCGTAATAGTGAGGACTACAGTCTATATGAAATTTAAAACAAAGTTGATCGATAAATTAAATGGCAAAAATTGGTCCATATTTTACACTATCCGATATTTATTCTCAAACATTTATATATTAAGATTAATGTTAGTCCAATGAAAACAGCAGTAATAATCAGTTATCATTTTCTTTTACAGTGTATATGTTTACCTTTGCAGAAGGTCCCTTGCCATCCTATGTTACACGCACAACTTCCATTATTTTGGACGCAGTTGGAAGTGCAACCCTTTCCGCAATTCTTTTGACACATGGCTCCAAATTTTCCAGCAACACAATCTTTGCAATGAGCATTGTCTCTGTGACATCCATTTCTGCAATCAGCGTTACATGTTTTGTTGCAGAAGTTTCCAAATTTGCCAACTTTACAAGAACCTTTACAAAAGCCGGTAACCATATAACATCCTGATGTACATGACGCACTACATTCCATGGAACAGTCAATTCCATAATGGTTTATGTCGCATTCTACAATTTGGTCATCACATTTGAAATGTTTTACTCAATAAGGAAAATAACTTCAGCAAAAGATGGTAACTGTGGTTCTTTATGTACATGTATGTTCTTTGTGACGTTAAGTTATCACAACCATTTAACATGAACATTCATAAATTTATTTGTAAATACATGTACATGTACCCTGCAGAAAATGCTTAAATTCGCATACATTGTGACGGTTTTTCTCAAGAACATGTAATGTTAAGGTTAAATTATATTTTTGTTTCCGAATCAGCAAATAAGATGAAATTATAAAGTTAAAAGGAAGTGTAAACATCCCTCGCATATTTATTTTTATACAAACTACTCTCATACCATCGTCTATTTTTAATTAAAGTACGAAACCCTATTTTCTGCATTTTACGTGATTAAAATTTGCCAAAATCTTTATGTTAATAGCTGTCTCATATATTCAGAAAAACTTAGCGATATGAAATCAAATAAGAGGTATTTTACGTAATGTATTCTTGAGTACTGAAAATATTTACATTGTTGAAGAATTTAGATAGCAGAGCAGCTACGGTAAAGTACACTTAGTCTAGCATTTATTTTGCTCACCATTACAGTATGGTGGCTTCCATCCACGGATACACGTACAGTTGCCATAATTCTGATCACAGATGTGGTTTTCACAGTTTACACTGCAGGTTCGATTACAATAGGATCCATAATACCCTGAATTACATTCACTGATACATCTACCGTCACGTCCATCACAAGAGCCATTGCCACAGTTCTTGCTACAAGGCTGACATCCTGGGGCATAGTGTCCAGGTTGACAACCTTAAACACAATAAAAAAAATCAATGTCATATCGGATCAAATTCATACCGAGATGCATGACAGGAATCAAGAAAACGACAAGGAATCAATTTCAGCCATAATTTGAGATTCAGTTTATTACATAATTTTAATAGTTTTCCTTCCCATTATGCTTTTCTCTCTGGGGAAAAATGCAGCTATATAACCAATTAAAAGGTAAGGACTACCAAAGGAAAGTGCATTGAATCACATGTATATTTTACTTCGAATTCATTCCCTTTATTACAAAATGATGACCCCCTCCACTTAAATGAAGAAACTTAAAGTTTCTCATATCACTCAAATTGTGACATGAACATCTTTTTTGACAACGCCGACGCCATTGAACGTTTCCACCTGTCCTCCCATCTTTCTGTTCTCAACTGATCATTTAAAAACCCATGACCCGCCCAAAATCATTTTTAAACACGTCTCTTGTTTACATTCTTTCTTCTGTGATTCTGATTTATACTATCGTAACTTTCTCTATTGGAGATTTCCCGATTTTGAAGGGAAAAAATATCCTCGAAACATTTGCTTATTTTATGTAACTATGCATTTTACATTGTACCGTGTAATTTAAGTTTGGCGTGATAAATTGAATTATATTTTAATGTTTCAACAGGATTGATTTTATTTGTTGCTGTAAATGCTTGTTGCTATGGCAACGGCTGCTTAATCGAAAATTTTATCTGTTGTATAAAAACTGAGTGTTGATTTTTTTTTTTTCGAAAATAGTCCTAGTCAACTGCATGAACCCTCACAGACAAAAAATGGTGGTGAACAATGCAAATAAGTAACATATATTCATTAGAATGACTGATACTTGTTTTGCAGTAAAGAAGTTACATAACTGGATACTGTAAACTAACTTTTATTTGTGAGAATTTTCGCGAGGTAAGCGAGAGTGTCCTCATTGCGAATATTTCTTGCCGCGAACTGTTCCTAACATTCTCTGTGTCTATTAACAACAAATCAATTACAGGCTTCATTGCAGAAATTAATTTTTGCGACCTAGTTTAACACCTGTAAATAGCGAAATTAAGTTGTCGCAAATAATAGCTGGTATAGAGTACATGTATCTGTGTTTGTCTGAACTCAGAAAGATTGGGGATTGTTTTTTAAGTCTTGGCTGTGCTGAAACTTTGTGCTCAATTCAAAATGTTGTTCTCGGGCCATATCATCTTTGTTTGCTTGCCCTTTCCTGACTCCAAGGCAAAATTATTGGATCTGTATGTAGGTTGGAAATTATTTTTCCAAGAAATTTAAACATTTATTTAGGAATGAGTCAAAGAAAAATTGTGCACTGGAATGTAAAAAAAAAATGAGATATATCATATTTTCTCAGTCAGGAGGGAGGGGAACAACTACAATGTAAACATTAAGATGGTCTTAAGTTGCGGTTCACGTTTTTCAAATAATTTGTCTTTTTCAATTTAGACATAAGTATACTAATAAATTATACTCACTACAATTGCCATTTATTACGTCACAAACTGAACAAGCATTACACAGTGCACAGTTTTCTCCAAAATGACGAATATTGCAACCTTCAAGAAATTAAAAGACTGATTAAATATTTTTATTGATATTCTTTCGGAATGATGTAACCCTCTGTTGTCAAAGTTTTTTACTTACAATAATCATTGAATAAATGCGTACATTGTATATATATTTTTAGTAAATAAGAATTCACTTTCATAATTATGATTGAATTCTTCACAATTGTTCTTGTTTTCAAATGTTTTCTGTACAGTTTTTGATAAAACATTAACCAGTTTTCATGTCTTAAGAAATTACAATATTATGGAGTAAAAGAGAACGAAATGATTGGCATAAGTTGAAAAGGCACTCATTGAACTAAAATTGATATAAACAGGGACATTGTAATGCATTACCAATCACTTCAATTTCACAGATCTCTAAGACAGGTCCTCTGGAATCTTTGTCCTCTGGAGCGTGGTATGATGTCTCTACAATGACGTATCTCGCCGTCTGTTTACAAGGGATGTCAATCACAGGTGGGGGCGTGGCTGGGGCTGTAGTGTTGTCTGTGTAACATCGTACTCTAGATCTCTTTATTGAGGTATCTGCCGATGAATTTGATGCATCCAAGTAAAACTGGCGAAGTCGGTATGGAGGCCAACTATCTGAAATAAGAAATACTTCTTCAATTCACTTCCTTAATAAAAACATCAATGCAGATTTCAGGTGTGACAGACTCTGAGACGTGCTACTACCCCACACCCTCGCTGCACGAACGGTACACGAACGCTACACGGTTTGTACGAAACGCTGCACGGTTTACACGAAACGCTTTGCACGAAAGGCTGCACGGTTTACACGAAAGGCTGCACCAAACGCTTTGTACACGTTTCTCACACGCTTTGTACACTATTCTCACACGTTTGCGCAGCACAGTTAAGGTTACAAAAAGGAGGCGGAGCCTAATTTGTACGGGAAAACTTGACTATGACATCATACACAATATACGTCATACAACATTTCTTTAAAATACCACAAAATGAGTTTATCGGCTAATTTAACCAGTAAAAAATCATCACACTACATAAAAACTTACTACAGTATGTTGTCGTTACTTAAATCCCACATAACAAGTTATAAACAAGTCACTGATCGCAATACACTTGTCAATATGACTTCATTTCTTACAACGTGACGTAGTTTGTATGCAGTAAGAGACAAATCAAGTAACATTTTCTCAACAAAATATGTATTCTCTTATTAAATAAAATATTATTTACAGATATTCTACGGGCCAATAACTTGAATTTAATGTCTTCTTCACTATTTTATTAATATATTTTCTGTATATTACGTATTTAATTGACACTGCCGTATATTTGTATGCAAGTACATCGAAGGGTAATGTGGGGTCTTAATAAATCGATCTTGTGCAAGGGCATACACTCTGTGGATTATAGTAAGCTTTACATTTCAACTATAGAACTATTAAGGTATCTGAAAAGTGCTGCGATCCTGATGAAATCTTAAAAACACTTTAATTATATCAATATTTCATGCCACTGATCAGCAAAAAACATAGCATTCGGTCATACAAGTATAATTTTAACAATGAAATTGCAGAATTTAGACAGGATCGCAGCACTTTTTAGAAACTACAATGCGTTTTGAAAATATTTATAAGCTAAACTTGGAAATTTAACTTGGTTATGCCCTTGCACTAGTGATATTTATATGTAACATCAATACTTCAAGTCAATGTGCCAAAATCGCGTGACTGCCGGATCACTTGACTAGTCTAAATATAAAATATAATCGTCCTCGATATATAGTTATTAATCATAATTACAATTATCCGATTTAAGTAATGTACAAAAAATAATCGCCATCCCGATTACGAATACGTTTTTAAATACAAAATTTAGTCGATATTTCCATTGCGCACCTTAACTGTACTGCGTGGTCTCAGTTTGGATTTTCTACTTGGAATCTCTCGGATGGTTTCATTATTAGAATATTAATTACATCTCAATCTCTCACTTCTATTTTAACAGCAGTTTAAATAAAAATTCAGTAAACAGCAGGATTAATATATAAACCGATAGAAATATTCAATACTTTGACAGTTGTAATTAATTAATAAATTATGCCGATATCATGGTGTACATGTACGTATAATATATTTTCTTCGTAGACTTCGTAGACTTAATCACTGCATTATAAATATGATTTTAATATATTTGTCATCCATTACAATATGTTTCTTGTATTTAAATATTTTTACATATATTAATCAAAAATTGAATTTCTTCCTTCAGGTAGCTACAACTCATTTATTGATTTTAAATAACTGTCATTGATTAATTTGCGTTTGGTTTCCGTAAGCAGATTACTTTTCTTGTTTTTTTCTTGTGTTATTTTCAAGCTTCATTTTGATGCATTTTCAATTAAACAATAATTTTTAGTGTTATCATTCCTGGCTGAGGATCGGTTATCCTAAAAATGAAATCGACTTCCGAATGAATCTTACACGATTCTTACACGAAAGTTGCTCGTTTCTCACACGGGTCTTATACAAAAGTCGCACGTTTCTCACACGCTTCTCGTACGCTCGCTACACGGTTTGCACGAAACGCTTTGGAGCTTACATTTAACGCTACACGGTTTACACGAAAGTCTCAGGGTCTGTATTTAGAAAACCAACAGCGAGGCAATGTGATTAACGAGGCTGGGGTGTGGCAGCCATTTTCTTACTATACTAGTCAAAATTTCTAAGTCCCCAGGCAAGTTTTTGCTTTTCACCGCTCTTATATTTAATTATTTTAACAATATAATTTATTAGTATACAGGATAATAAAGTAGCAAAAACAATTTTTCTCACTTAATTTGTTTTATTGAAGAACTTAAACACAATATGTAGAAACGTTAAGGCACCCTAGAATTAAAAATTCACAACGGTAAACACTGTATTATTCTCCATTCAAACGAATTCACAGCAAGACAACCGTTCCTCAAAGAGTTCACACTATTTAAGAAAAATTCTTTTATTGAGTGTTTTTCCATGTGGAGACTAGATCGTCCTCTAGTTCCGCCTGATTCTGCTGCTGGACAAGCTATCTCAGTCTCCGGTCTATCTTCTTCCATACTTGCTAATTAGGGTTGAGATTAGGATGACAAGGGGGCTTATCGAAATTGTCTGTGCCTTGTCAACAATAGTTACATAACGTCTTCTTACTTGTATTCCCCACTCCTCCATTTTGACATTGAGGGGAGGGCACTTCCGGTTCCGGTTCCATTGATTTTTCCGGATAAACTCTAGGATGCTTTTGTGGTGTTTGTTGAAAATCTAGCGATTTTTAATGATTAAAAGGAATTTGGGTATGCTTTGTAGGTTTTTCGGGCGAAAATTATAAAGGTTTTAAGTAAAATAAAGTCATACAGTAAAAGGAAACATAACTTTCGTTAACTACGACCAAATTGGGCCATTTTAACTTAACTTGCACATTGCTGTGTGGACATACACCGCATTTTATTCGAGCTTTTTTCTGTTTTTCGTCATCAATAAAAGATGGAGAATACATGGAAGTAACAAATATAAAGAATACACCCGAAAAACATACGGAACTCGAACTTCATGCCTTTTAACAAAAACGGTCACGGTCGAGTAATTACACATTTGATTACAATTTTTTTGGCCTTGACAAGTAAGTATTACAAATTAAAGGCAAATTTGTAAGCAACTAGCAAATTGAAGTTAAGGTTTTTAACTTTTTGAAAAAATTAAAGTGGGGATTTAGAAATTTTGACAAGTATATTTTGATCTACCTAAAAAAAGAGCTCCATATAAAGATAAACAAAAATGATCAAATTTTAAAACAAAAATGTATGAATTTTTTCTTTGCCAAATGATAGTTGACAGCTTTAGATACAGTATCTAAAAAAAATAGGGTAAGTCTGGTGGTTAATTTTTTGGTTAATTTGTTGCCCCCCCCCCCCAGCCTCCTTAAAAACAATACAGATCTTTCTTACGCTCTGAAATTCTGATGGTCACTCTGTCATAATTTTGAAGCGCAAAAAATTGACTGTAATCAGATTGACGACATAAACGACATAGATAATCTAAATAAAAAACTTAAGCATCTTGTTGATGTCAACTTCAGAGCACTTGTGTGTGCAATTAGAATGTTTTAAAGAAAATAATTTTATAAATGACCAATGACTAGATTAGTAAATTTACAAGTTCCATTAAAAAGCAGATTAATGATTCAAAAAGCCTGGACTTTATTGTGGGGAATGGTTGTGTATAAAGTTGAAAAGTCGTACGTTCTTAAGCTGTTGATTTTGGTAAAATCTTGTGATTGTAAATTGTCCAATAGTTCTTTGTAATTTTTTAGTATCCACATATGAATCACTCCACTTCTTAAATATATAGTTGCAAAGTACTCTTAAAGTTTTTTCTTCACTACTATCAATATCCTTGTGAGGAGTAAAGAAAAAGGATTGGTGGAACATTTACTTGAACCCGCAATTGTTTCTTTGTTTGTAAGGATTCTTATGAGGTTTCGGAATCCAATATATATATGGTAGTTAAATTTATATGGTCCTCCGGAATATCGAAGATAGTATATATCGATTGATATATGATTCTGAAGATTTTCTTTCTTAGAAAGGAAACTATTAGTACAAGCTTGATTACCTCTTGTAGAATTAAAACCAAGTTCTTCTAAAACACAATTGATATAATGAGCCTTTCGAACGAAGACAATGTTACCTGCTTTGTCAGCAGAGACCTGTACGTACTGATCATGATATCTATCTTATTCTTTTTTTTCATTTCTGGATTATTAATACCGTTTATTATCATTTTTGTACATACCAAGTTTATTTATTTACCCCTGACCTTGAAGTTTGACTAACTTTTTAAAAATGTTTTGTTTTAACCTTTGATAGAGGGAAATAATAGATGAAGGGTTCCCATGTTTGACATGTGAATTTGCCTATAACAAGATGTTTCCTAGTATGCTATAATTTTTTACCCCTTGACCTTCATCTTTGACCTGATAAAAATGACTTTCAATTTGTGATTACTTTTGCATGACATATGTTTGGGTGTAAATACTTGAAGCAATATCTCATAAATAATGCCATCCAATCTACTAAGACACCGAAAGCGGGGGGGCCACATTTCTATAAATTTACTTGTTCTTCACAAGATGTAATATCTACCATTACTTAATGAAACATATGGAGATAACAAACATTATTCAAAATCGTAAGTCCATAAAACAAAACAAAACAGGTGCAGACCAAACATGGACCTCAAAAACATCAGAAATGGGTTCAGGTGCTATGAAGGAGTGAGCATCCCCTGCCAACCGGTCACATCCTCCATGTGTTCCTTGTCATGATGGGGAAATAATGGAAAAAAAAACCTCCAAATCTATCAGTAATTGAGATAGATTTTCCCTCAAACCATGAAAAATTTATCAACAAAAATTTGCGATTTTTTAATTTGAAATACTATACAATTATTGATAATTTTATAAGTCAACACGTTGATTAAAACACCTAAGGATTACAATATTATCTGCGCCAAAAGGGCGATGTGAATGTTCAACCAACTTGAAGCCTCTTTCGTTACTCCACACTAATATATTGACATTAGTAAAGGAAAAACTTCAAGAGTACGGTGCAACTATGTATTCAAGAAGTGATGTGAATCAGATGTGGATTCTAAAAAAATTCTAAAGAACTTTTGGACAATTTGAAATCACAAGACTTTACAAAAATCAGCAGCTTAAAAACTTACGACTTTTCAACTTTATACATAACAATTCCCCACGAAAAATAATATGCAGGCTTTTTGATATCATTGACAGTTGCTTCTTAAATAAAATGGAACTCGTAAATTTATTTACCTCGTCATTGGTCATTTGCAAAATTATTTTGTTAAACAGATTCTGATTGCACACATAAGTACTCTGAAGTTGACATCAAGAAGATGCTTGAGTTTCTGATTGACAATATCTATGTGGTTTTTGGAGACCAGGTATTCCAACAATCTATTGGAATTCCCATGGGTACAAATTGCACTCCGTTATTAGCAGACTTATTTTTATATTCATATGAAGCAGAATTTATGCAAAATCTTATGAGTGAAAAGAAGAGAACACTTGCTCTAGCCTTCAACTCGACATTTAGATATATCGACGACGTCAATTAATAATGGTAATTTCCATTCCTACGTCGATACGATATATCCTGGTGAGCTTCAGATAAAAGATACCACAGAGTCCGACACTTCTGCTTCCTACTTGGATATTTTACTTGAAAAAGACACTAATGGTAATCTAACAACCTCACTATATGATAAACGTGATGACCATAACTTTTCTATCGTCAGCTTCCCTTACTTATGCAGCAATATACCGTCATCACCTGCATACGGAGTACATGTATATATATCTCAGTTGATTTGATGAACAAGAGCATGCTCTACGTATAAACAATTTCTTAAACGAGGTCAATTATTGACAATCAAGTTGCTGAAACAAGAATATCAGCAGTCTCGTTTAAAGTCATCATTTCGTAAGTTCTATGGTCGATACAATGACCTTGTCAGCAAATACAATTTATCATTGAGTCAAATGCTGACTGACGTTTATCATACCAATTGTTAGTCCATTACTTATACACTGAATTGACGACGGATTTTTTCCGTTATTTTCTGATCATGACAAGGAGCACACAGCGGGTGTGACCGGTCGGCATCTGATCCCACCTCTGATGTTTCGGGGGTCCGTGTTTGCTCTGCTCTTATTTTGTATTGTTTTATAGACTTTGAGATTGAATATTGTTCGTTATCTCTATATCCTTCTTAGAAGGTGACAAAATCATCGTTTGACCAAACATCAAGAATAATTAATTATTGTTTGAATTAATGTTTAAATGAAACACTTCTTTGCTGCTTGAGATTTACTGAATTACAAACCAAACATAATATAATGAAAAAATGGGGTATCAAGCATAAATTAAATAATTCCTACTTCTCTGGTTGGGAGAGATCAAATAAAGTTGATGAAATCCTACGTTATATTCACCTGCACATGTCCTTCCACAAGATTGTAAGGATTTTTTCCTCTACATTAGTATAAGAATAGAGTGGTAAATTACTGAATATATACAAAAGCTTGAACAAGTTATATTAATTGGAAATTTGGAAATTTATGGGGGAAATGTCAATCCAGTTGACTTATCATCAATAAAATATATCTAATACAAACAATCAAAAATACTTTTGGAAATTTTTTTTCCGCTTGCTGCTTCAAAAACTCACATTTTTTGCCTAGAAACAAAATTTTGAATAGCACCCCCTTCCCAATAGAAGAAAAGCATTCTTCCAATTCAATTTTTTTGGTGGGATGTTAAGGTTCTTAAGCTATGAGAGTGTTTTTTATTGAATTTTTTTTCTTAAAATTTACCTTAAAACTTACATTCTCAAAAACGTTAGGGAGAGGGGCAGGCCTTCAGCTACCCCCATCCCTATCTTCACCCAGGAATTTATATGCCTCAATCCTATATGTTCATATGATTGGGAGTTAGTTGTGAACGGAATAATGTTGTTCGAAAGCTATGTATACATTGCATTTGTATCAATTTGGAATTTACCTAAATCTATTTTTAGTCTAATGTCGAGAAAAAAAAAATCTTACTTATGATTACTGTCATTATTGTAGGTTGAATGAAATACATTACCTTTTGATAAAAAAAATTGAATAACGGGTTTTAAAAAATAAAATGGAAAGATCGGTTTAACTTACCTTCGTTTCTAGAGTATATTCTAACAGATTTAAGACTGTAAACTGTTCCGAGATCCACCTGAATCCACGCTAATGTTTGATCTTTACCGGTATGTGCACACTCTGGAAAATACTGGGCGTAATTGCCATCAACAACAAGTGATGCAGATTTAAATGATGAGCTTTGGGAGGCGGAAGCCCCAGACACTCTGCTTAAATTTTCTGAAGGAAAATACGAAATCAATTGGATTTGTTTTACATTTTATTTCTATTTTACAGGAAATTTTATGATTTAATTCTAGTCAAATCATAATTTTGATCAAGAAGAAAAGGTGCATATATATTGTTGATTCAAAATCTAACATCCTTCCCTCAAAAAATGATTTAAGAATAAAGAATCACTTGAAGCTCTATATTTTTCTTAAACATCATTTATTTAATTTTTTAACGGTTTGTCTTCAAAATGCGTCTTTCTTCAAATGTTTTCTGCAATTGTGTAACACGACGTTTACACTTGTTTATTGATACAGGTATTTGTTTGTTCTTCATGTTAAACTTCCCTTTCGAGAATTTTTTTCACTCATATTGAGAAGCCAACAGTTGTCCTTGGAGGGCTGCAAATGCATACAGGGTCAATGAACATTCATGAATCTTTTTCTAACATCTATAGCATCACGCAACCTCAATTTATTTGGTCTCGTCCAGATGACATGTTACCACGTTTTGCAGTAGAATACGAATCCGCGAGGTAAGGAACAACTCCTTATACCTGGACCCTAGAGCAAATGCTCTAACTACTAGTATACACTGCGACCATGCAGGCTACTCTACCAAGTTCAGAATTTGAATCTACAGACACTTTCTGGATGCTCGTAAAATAATGTGATTTATTTTGCAACTGTTTTTTGCTACTGAGTCAAACATTTATGACTAAAGTTGTCCACCTTACATTCAAGTGCATTTTTTCGATAAATTTGCATTCATTTTTTTCCATGACAAATAATTGATCCTATATATACATGTACTGTAATGTAGTACGACCTCATCTTCGATGTCTATGATTTGTTTTCGTCTGTTATCACTGAATGCTTCAACCTTCTCCTGTGACTCGACTTAAATCAGAAAAGTCTTATTGGATGAATTAAACCTGAATCTTTAGAACGGATGTCGTGTAATTGTTGAGTATAAAAACTACACATACCATAACAATATCCGAGACAGATCAGTGACAGAAAAGACACACAAAGTGCTGTATAGGTAGCCATTTTGATAACAAGGAAGTAAATTTCAGAATTAAAAAACTCAATGTGAACTTTTAATGTTTAAAAAACTTTTCAGCTTTTATTATCAGTAACTCCTCAGTGACACGAAATCTGACAAAGTCCCTGTTCATTTACATATATCCACAAATGATCTTTATTTACACATTTTGATTTTGTTTTGCAACACGACTACGTTAAAAATTTAAATGTAAGGGTCGCTGTTCAAGCTCTAACGACAAAGACTATTCAAAAGAAAATTCTGACGGTTCACCTCTTTATTCAGTTACTTCTAAACCAACAATGCAACCCGAATGTATGTCACTGTTATTTCTTCCTAATCCAAAAAAAAGATAGAAAGGTCAGATAAATGGAAATGAATTTAAAGCAGTGCATGGTTCCATATCACGGGTTGCTTATACATGTATATATAAAGACCATGCTGTTCTGGGAGAAAGTTTTCCTATTCATATACAATAATGTAGTTTTTTACAGGCACATGGTATCGGGGATGGGGTTGGGGAAGCTTTTTAAGACATAACCTTAAGCTTTTAAATGAAAATGTTCATTGAAAGTCACTTTTTCTCAACCCCTCCTTTTATGTTGAAGTATGGACCAAATGGGGATTATGGAGATTTGTTAAAGAATAGTATTAAAAGAAGCTTAAGTTTAATGGCCTAAAATTTGATCCTGTTCCAACCCCAGATATAAGAGATATTTTAAGATTACATTTATCTATACTATATATACCTGATGGTGCATGTACGTCCATAATGTACATAAATCTTGAAACACAAGATAAATGAATTTATCAACTTTTAATACGTATGCACTTTTACCTTCTCTTCTGTAATAGATTTATCACACTTTTTATGTTGTATTGTTTTCCAGGATCCATTTGAAACCAAACCGCTCGGTTAGTGCTCTTAGGATCAGTATGAGCACAATAATTATTTGTGGTCCTTCTACCACCGTCATTTGCACGTGATGCAATGTGGTCAGTATATGTAGAACTTTGAGAGAGTGTTGTTGTCCTTCTTCTTCTCAGTTTTATCTGTATTTTAAGTAGAAGACAAGTGTTTCTTAAGAGAATATATGGTTTGTACTTATGCTTTCATGAAAAAAATATAAAGGTTCCATAATATATTCATTTTTTTTTCTTAAAAGAAAACAAAATTAAGACTTTTAGTCAAACGTCATGACGATCAGAAAGATTTCAATACAATGAAACAAAAAGAATCTAAAGTCATTAGTCATTATACAGTTAAAGTATATTATTGAAGGAGTTTTCAAAATTACAGTTCCCCTAGGCCAGCAATATTTCCTGAGACGCAGTTAAATACTGAAAACAATAAGTAAATGGGGGAAGGGGGTAGTTAGGTCCTAATTTCTTTTAATATCAAAACTGTTTTTATTTTAAACACTGCATAAGCCTTCAATATCCCTTATTATGTTCCCCAAACGAAGTTGGGGAACATATTGTTTTTACTCTGTTTCTTATTATTATTATTAAGGTCTTCCGACTTCCTTCGGAAGACCTTATTGTTTTCCTTCTGTTTTTTATTATTATTATTCTTTTTTCATAGTACAGCCGATATCTCAGCTATGCGTGGACAGATTTCAAAGATTTTCTCAGGGAAGATGCATCATAATAATATCTCCAGACGTGTTTTTCAATTTTTCAAAATTCACTTTTGTTTGTGATTTTTGGGGATTTTTGTATTTTTTAAAAGGCATTTTGTCCAGCAGTTTTCTCAAGAACGGTTAAAGATATGAAAGTGAAACTCACAGAGGTGATAGAACATCGAACTCCGTTCTGGGCAACGAGCTTTATTTTTCGTCGTCGGCACTTCCTGTCGTAAACGGAAGTGAATTCAAAAAGTTACATTTCTCAACTTTTTTGTTTTTCAATATTTTTCTTTAGTATTTACAAGGTTTATAGTGTGTCGTATGAGAATTTTAAATATGTGTTTAGTATCTTGATGCGTACATATATTGAAAAGATATGACCGAACCAAACTTTGTCCTACTGTCGGGGGTTCGAATCCCGCTGTGGGCGTTGAATTTTTTTATCTTTGTTTCTGTCTTTTTTCAGTTGCAAATAACTTTTCTCTCTTTTTCAACATGTATGGAAGATTTTGCCGATTTTTAAAAGCTATTTTTTGAGATATTTGGAGGAATACATGTAATAATCATGAGGTATGTTATGAGGCTGCTGTAAATGAACGTAAACGAACAAAAATACATTCTGAAATTTTATGGGATGACGTAGCATAGAATTCTAACGAAAATCGGTCGGAAGACCTGCTTGTTGCACCTGCAACAAGAACGCATCTAGTTATTTTTCTTCTTCTTCCTGGAACTTTTTTGTCCGGGAATGATCTTGTAAACTATTCGTCCGATGTAGGTAAAACCTTTTTAGGGTTAGTAGACATGTTATGTAGATTTGCGGAATCAAGGTCATTTTGCGCGCACGTGCTTGCAAGAGCGTACACGTGCAACACGTGAAATGACCAATATAATACATATAGCCACAACTGTTCTATTTTTAGATGAAATGCTTTGAAACTCATAATGTGAGGATATACTAGTAGTATAGACATGACGACATGGTGAAAATAGCAAGATCTCACGCGCATGCACGTGCACTTCGCTCTGATTGGCTGCAACTAAAGTCTCAATATCTTTCTTGTTTTTGGAAGAAATCCTTTGAAATTTTGAACATAGCCATTTATTAGGATATCCTACAACATGAAATAAAGCAATTATCATGAAAACACGTGCATGCACGTGCGCTGCAATCTGATTGGCTGAAACTTTAAACAGCTATATCTCCCTTGGTTTTCAACCAAACAGGATGGGATTTGGAACATAGATAGATATAATGGACTTCTACAAGTAGGTATGGTCACCATGCACATGCATACACGTGTGTGTACATGTGCTGCAATCTGATTGGCTGAAACTTTAAACAGCTATAACTCTCTTAGTTTTCACCCAAACGGGATGGAATTTAGAACATAGATAGATGTAATGGACTTCCACAAGAAGGTATGGCCAACATGCTCATGTATGCACGTGCGTGCACGTGAAATAGGTAAAATCAAATATACACTTGAAAGAGCGTATTTTATTAATAATTTTGGATTAAATACTTTAATATTCAGTGTATTAAAATATAGATTTGTGCAGACAAGATGATAAGGTCATGACGCAAATGCATTCACATGTGCACGCGTGAAATGCTAAAGTTTAAATGATTTTTGTACACTTCTTTGTAAATGTTGTTAAAACCTCAGATGCGTAGAGTTTGTCTTATTTAATGAAGCTTACAGGGAATATGGCACCAAAAGGGAGTTGGGGAGCGTTTGGGGAACATCTGTAACGGTCCCCGTTACAATTAGCACTAGTTTGAATACTGCAAGCAAACGTGGGGAGGACGGCCCGGACTTTCAATGAACCGTTGACATGTTTCCTAATGAAAATCTTATGTCTGGAAAACACCCCCTGGCTCCAACTGATGTCACGTGTCTGTATAATGATATTCCAAATAAAGTTGAAAACAATGGTTGCAACGATTGGAGATAGTTGTATATTTGCATGTATGAGATAAAATAAATCTTATCAATAAAAAAAAAACGGATTGATATGAACCAGTTGTTAAGTATTTTTATCTTGAAAAAAGACTTTATAGTCAAGCCACTGTTTTTTTTTTTTTTTTTTTATTTTACAAGGTTTTTTCTTTTACTCTGAGAGGCAAATTGCTAATTGTTTCCCTAAGTCATGTTACTTGTATTCAAAGAGCAAAGTCCACGAACCATCAAAAAATGCCTCTTGCAAGATATTAACGCGATGTTTATCATAGATAGTATAGACTTTAAACTTTTCATAACCGTTTTTCTTTTTTCAATATCTATTATACTTTTTAAAAACGAGGTCTTGCAATATGGCAATGTTTTAATATAAAAATGCAATAGGAACGTCATTTTTTGTAATGTAACGTCACGTCAATTAGCGATAGAATGACCTTGCTATTACAATGCACAGATATATAGGAATATAGGACTTTTAAAATGCAATAATTAGAATCAATTTTATATTTATCTTATCAACTTCATAATCAATAAAGATGTTAATTCTGAATGAATAGAATTAGAAAAAAAAAATTTTTAACTACCGCGCTTCATGAAATATGCCGGCGTGAAGCGTCGTAGTTCATAACCTCATGAATCTTCAAAAATTAAATTCATTTCTTAAATATTATTAATTTGTTGAAATGCATATTTTGTTCCCTTACCCTGCCTATGGGTATTAATTAACCAAACTACGCAACTGCTTAGTGTATAGTTATGATGATCAAAATTGTAATGCAGCATCTGGCTTAAAACATTGATTAAATTCAATCACTGGAAAGTTGTTGCATAATGCTCAGGTGACCTATAAGGCCCATGGGCCTCTTGTTTTTTCCTCAATGCACCAATAAAAACAAAACATACTTAGATTTGGTAAATGTTGTTAAATTAATTATTTTTTAACATGTATAAGTAATATTTCATATTTTTAATGAATAACATTCGCCATAACAGTAAAAATTTCACTTCCCGCAAAAACGAACAAAGATCTAGATGTTTCTTGCCATGGCGACCGTTGAAATGGGAATGTAGTAGCACAGATGCATTTAAAACATATGGTATTTTTGACAGTATTGCCAATAAAACAGTAAACTTTTGAATAAATCCGATGTTTTACGCGTTTTACCGACTATGATTTTGAATTTATTATTTTTCCACTGAATAACAAGATGTCCGCTATCAGCTGGGTAATTACATGATTTCAAGTAATACTATGGAACGCCGGGACTGTCTTATATGAGGATTGAATATTATATGCAGTGTTTCCTTTATTATATGCGGTACTATTTTTTATCATATGAAGTAGTTTCTACATTATATCGTGTACAATTTCCATTATATGTAGTACTTCTCTCATTATATTATGTAGATATGTCATTATATTAT